GGTACGTTGTACGTTAGGTACAAAATCCTGCCATTGACAATGTGTTGCTACAAAACTATGATGATTTAAAATTAGCGGCTTTGGGGTCTAGGATTAAAGGCTTATACAGTGTGTTTATTTGCATTCTTGCCATATTTAAGAAATTAATAATAGAAATAATGTTAAATTACCTAAAAATATTTAATAAAAATATTCTGTTCAATATTCTGACTAATTGTATCTAGTAAAGTTTTGTAAAATTCCCAAGTGTATTCATCGCGTAGGACAGTAAACCCACCACTCGCTTCACCGAGCGATACGTAATCTTTCTCGATCGCTTATTTACCTATTAAAAAAAAATGTTTATGTGCAAGTATTGCTATAATTTACTAATTATTTATATTAGAAAAGTTGACTAAAAAAACGTCTTTTGTAACTTAGATTTGGTACTTACCAACTTTAGGTTACATGAAAGTATTTCTAGAAGTACCTAGCTCCACAGCTGGTGGTAGGCTCCATACCGGAGCCAGCACAGGTATAGTTTCGTTTCAACATAGCACACTCTTCACAACAGAAATAGCAGAAAGAAACCAGAGACGACTTTTGCGCGCAATTCTTCGACACACGTATCTGCGTAAACTCAACGTTTCACATCATGCCATAAGAACGCACTTGATGGTAATGCATAGTCTGGCTGGTGAATATGGTAGCGGTTTTTTTTTTGCGCTAACTCTTGTTTACTTACCAAACCACGTTGCATTTCGTGAGAAACTAGAACGTATGCGCGATGTCAGCGGAACTTCGACGCAATACGCAAGGTCGACTGATGATCTACCAATCACGCGCTCGATACGATACTCCCCCCGTCCCTACCCGTACCCTTTTTTTTTTTTTTTTGACGGGGGGGAAATCTTTATGGATACCCCTGAGCCCAGGGAGACTCAGGGGTTATGTGGGGACTCTCCCTCCACACTGGAAGGCCTACCCCACTAAAACCCCCCCGGGTTTCCCTCTCGCCGGTTGAGTCGGCGCCGTGGGATCAGTGAACATTCACCACGACCCCTACCCGTACCCTACCACCAAATAGATCTAAAATACATATTGTCTACGCATAGGTCATTGTTCATGTGGTTGCCGGTACCTGTGGCATGTGTAGTGTAAGTAAATGACGTTTAGATCAAGCACGGTTACCGCAATTAAGTATAAAATAAGAATTTAGGAAAGTTTAGGAATTTTTAGTTTAGGTTTACTTTTTTTTTTAGTAGTTTATGAATTTTTTCTTCTTCGATTTATTTGTTTAGTGATTTGGGTTTAGATTCTGATATAGAATGACCTCTGTAAATATGGCGAGATTGCAAATCGACACATTGTATATGCCACAGTGGGTTTCCTATCACAAGCTAGAAACATGATTAATAGAACTTTGTTTTCCCGAAAACTTTTCGACTTTTATTGAATACATTTCGTTTCATTTGCCCGAAAACAAATTACGATTTTTTTCATTACACCATTGAACGTTTCACTATTTTGACGTATTTACAAGTTATTCGTTTGTATTCCTTCAACATACCGTTTGACTAATGTATATCTAATTGTATATTTTGTAGAGATTGATTACTCCAAAACTCTGATAGTTATTTAAAACATTTTCGGAAATGCAAAGAAATTCATTTTGGAACTCGCTGGCCGCTGCTGCCGGCACGCTCTGTAGCTCGCGTGCTCCCTTTTTATATAGGTACTAACCTACTAAAGGGAGGCGCACCCAGGTTTGACTATGACTTGTGTTCGGAAATGCAAACATATTCACTTCTGGCATTCGCCGGCCAAAGACGCAAAAGAAGAAAGGTTAAAAAATTGTTTGAAATTAAAAATAATTTGAATAAAGTAAAATAATTAAAAGAAATATCTAAACATTTGAAATTGTATTAAGAAATATTTAAAATTATGAATCACAAATTTTACCTACCTCATTATCTGAAGTAAATGTCTTTATTCGTTTATTAATTCTGCGTGCAAGTAACTTAATTAATAATATAATTAATATTAATAATTTATTATAATTAACTTAATAACCTATACGTAATTCAAAATCACATTTTAGATTACAAAATAAGGAAATCTTTCATTCAAAATGTATAAATGAAGTAAATAGTATTTATACAGAATAATTACTTAAAATTCTTGTGTTCGTTTGTACAGGTACAATTTTATCTAAGAATAAAAATTTTGTCGAAACGATTTTTCAGTTATATGGAAAACAGACTGTAGGATAAACATGAATTGACCAAACAACCTCTGCCCCAGGAATACAATATGTAATAATACGGGCAAACGATCCTTCAGCTGTTAAGATATTTCTGTGCTACTAATTAACACTAACTAATAAAGAAAAGTCGAACCGTTTTCGGAATAATGAAACTTGGCAATAAGAATTTCGTGTTTGTGATAGGTTGCCGCCGCGGTGGGCGAAATCGAGCCGTAGTTGATAATGATGAACTTTTTTATAGACCTCACAAAGATGAAATGGCTCTCATCGCATCTGTATACGTCTAATCAAAAGTTTGTAGAGAATAAGTTCCAAGGCAATGGATTTTGTTAAAACTTGTAGAGATTTTGGACGGTATTGCTACTTAGAACCTATTGGTTGCTGCATTTGCGTATCTTAGAGAGATTTTAAGTTACAGAGACGTAGTGTATTTAGGATTATTTTGGTCTATTGTCATGATTAATAGGCAAAGATATTCGCGGTCGATAGCGAAAACTGTCACTGAAAACTCATAATTCATGGTACTAAAGGGAGGTTTGGTTAACTTATTGCTCATATTCCACGCGGATAAAGGGGCACGTACATCGGCATCACCAAATGGGGCACAAACACAGTGTGATTACACCGAATTACGTCACGGCTTATAACCACTTATATATTTCTTAATGCAAACCATTGACTTACAATTATATGGACGTCGGGTCCGCGCTAAAAAGTGTCCGCACTTGTAAGGCGCTAAAATCGTATACAGAGCGCCAAACTCTGTTTTAGTCTTCATTTGTTCGACTGACAGCGCGATACTGCGATGACATTACAATTTAAATTTCGAATAGGTTGACTTGGGACATTTTTTTCGTGGTTTTTGTATTAGACCCGTCGTCCATTTATTTGTAAGTCAATGATGCAAACATTGAATTGTTCTAACGAAGACTGTTTCTCTTTGAAATATTTATTCGGCCGACGGCCATTCGGGCGATAAACAAATAGATTCCATTTTTGAACATTATAATAATTCATGAAAGAAATATACAGGGTGTAAATTTGAGACGGGGAAGCAAGGCCAGCTACCTTAATCGTTGTAATTACAGGGAAACGGTTTGAGAAGACTATCCATGAATTTTGAAGATATTTTAATTGGCATTCACAGATTTTGAAAAAATGGTACAGTCAGCCAGATAAAAGACAATTTTTAAAAAACTTTTTTTTTTATGCCATTTCATCCGGTCTCTAGTAAGAATCAATAGTCTCTATGGGACCAACTGAGGTAAGAGTACTCGAAATGGCAGAAATCGCAAAAAATCTTTTACCACACATTTTAAATGAATAGTTTTTGTTAGAAAAGAAACTGGCCACTACTCTACATATAAGACTTAAGTAAAACCAAATCATAATCATATCACTATTTTTTAAATTTGGAACTGCTTTGTTTTGTTTTGTTAATGAGAATTGTCACTTTTAAGACGATTTTTAATCAAAATGTTCTCAAGTGTGGAAACAAATTAATTGGAACACATGGTCCTATCAAATGGCCACCTCGTAGTCCTGACGCTCCTTGATTTTTTCTTTGGGACTATGTAAAAAATTAAATTAAAAAAAATACGACAGTATTCAAAAATTGAAAGACGCACTTGCAGCAATTTTCAATAGAATCCATCTGAGTAGAATTTCAGTCGCTACTTCCTCTTTGCGGAAGAGAGCGAATCGATGCATCCGCCAAGGCGGCAATCAATTCGAGCACTTACTATCATACACTTTTTATGTTATTTGCTTTTCGTTATTGTTTTTATTTTGAAATACATAATTCGTTGTCAATTTGTTCGTTTCCTTATTGTTAGTTACCTTAACTACCTAGAATAACTGATTACTAAATAGGTCCCTACAAAATGTATGGTAAAAAGTTTTTTGTGATTTCTGACATTTAGATGACTTTTACCTCAGTTGGTCCCATAGAGTTTATTGATCCGTACCAGAGACCGGATCGAATGACATAAAACAAAAGTTTTCAAAATTTGTGAATGCCAATCAAAATATCTTCAAAATTCATGGCTAGTCTTCTAGAACCGTTTTCCTGTAATTACAACGATTAAGGTAGCTGGCCTTGCTGCCCCGTCTCAAATTTACATCATACAAATTAACACCCTGTATAAGAAATCGATCACATACATGCAAATAATGAATAACGCGATGGCTTTTCAATTAACAGTGGTTTTAGCTCATTTACAGTCGTATCCTTTTTCACTTTCAATAAATATAATTTGCTTTGATAATTGTTTCAAAACAAACTATATTGAAATGAAATAAAAAATGTAATCGTAATAAATTACTGACTTGAAAGGAATGGGTCGGGTTCACAACCCTGCAGTCAACCTCCATATTAATTCTTTTTTTTTACCAATAAAATTTCTGTATTCTCGGCGTACCGAAATCTAATCTTGTAAGAAATATTTTAAAAATTGAAAAAAAAAATTTAATATTGTAAGAAATATTTAATAAATAGTTGATCATATATTAATAATAATAACTATGTCTAATTGTTTTAATATTTTCCTGCTAACATCGTCCATCATCCAAAGGGACTGCAATTTATGGTAAGTGTTAAACTTGTTCACCTTATATCACTATCGCTGAAACAGATAGGGCAAAAAATTGCGGAAATGAATTAGGTTGCGAAACGGTCGCACTCGCGGGAAAAAGATCCGAAAAAGGCTGAACTTCCGTTGTGTTTTCGTTGTTGACGAAAGAAAATCCATTAAAGCTCTGCTGCTGCTGGTGGTTGTGCATAAAAAGCGCAAAGACAACTGGGCCGAGAAAGAACTCGACGACATACGCGAGAACATCATTGCGTACGAGGATGAAGGGGGCGGCGAAGGAGATGCAGGCTACGACCTTCACGTGCTGCGCCAGATGTTCCAGCCGCAACCAGAAGGCGACAACTACATGCGCGGACCGGGTAAGCAGTAAAAAATTTTTCGCAACTCATAGTCAAGTACTTTTGAAATATCGCCATTTTCATAGCTTATTAACAGAATAGTCTTCCACCGGCGTTCCGAACATACGCATCCTATTTTGGAAACAAAGTGCGCCAACAGACGACCTGACCTTGTAGTACGCGGCCGCTTTAATTGAATGCGTGCAGTTGGATCTAACCTCGTACAGTTGTTGCCGCATGCTGAGTCTAGCAACTCACTATATCGATGACATACTCTATAATGCTTGTCGTCGTGGTAAAAGGATTCGCCAATCGGCGTAACGTAGCCGCCCTTTTGTTTGTTGCCCAGGCTGCGCCAGATGTTCAATAGAGGAACGGGCAACAACCTTGCTATTCATTCATTAGTAGATATAAGTTGTTTATTATGTAAATTTATTTGATTTCCTTCCTTTTTGTTATTTTGTTTGTTTTGGTTTCATATGTTTGTTTTTTCTTACTTATTATTTGAAATTGTTGTGTGTGCTTGTGGAAAGTCAATAAACGCGTTCAAAAAAAGAATGTACGTCTTAGGGGAGACTCCTTTCGTGCACCACAGTTGTTCAAGATCGAAAATAAACACGAAATATAATTAAACTATTTTTCCGGATTTAAATCGCGTATATTTGTTTTTTCAAACAAACCGACGTTTCGGGCCCTTTACATGTCCCACGGTCTTTATTATACATGGTCTATGGTAAATATACGCGATTTAAATCCGGAAAAATAGTTTCATTTCCTAAGTGTAACAATCGCGAGAACCTAAGAACTCGAAATATAATTAATTATTCCTATGATTCGACATGACGGGGACTTTAACTCCGTCGCAAAAAGTTGAAGCTTTGTCTGTGTTCGAAACGGGTCGACTGATTCCAAAGTGTAATAAGCCTCATTTTAATGTTTTGTTAAGTTTTAATATACAATGAGTTGACATAACTTAAGATTGGTAAAGTTATTACTTTATCAATTAATTTAGAATGTAAAGAATTTTGCAGCTTTCCACTCTCGGGCTATCATTTATCAATTGTACAGCAAACTGTACGCGGTCTACGATACACAGCATGCGGCGACATAATACGACTTCAACCAAGTACACTCTGCTTACAGTTGAGTTCACGATTGCACGCTGATGGCAGCCTAACATTTCCAACTCATTGTCATTTAGTATTACAGTCTAGAAACCTATCTATCTTGGTTCTCATTACATTATAGCGTTTCAAAATTTAAAGTGATTTTATTCAAAAATTTTAACACAAATTGGATAGACTAAATAAACAATAAGCTAAAAAAAATATTGATATTCTTATATTCCAAATTTCGTCCATACAAAATATAAAAACAACGCGTAGTAATGTTCCCATACGAGTGCTGCCTAGCGCGCACATCTGCCTCCGCGGCGTCAGTCGGGGCTAATAAATATAGCAACAATTCGACTCATCCGTAGAACAAAGATCTATATGCAAGACTACTTGTTCTCAGGACATTAGTATATTTCGTTGTCAGATCGACGGTCGTTCGATTTTATATTTCCGAAACGAAATAAGGTATATAAATTTTACAAACATGGATCTTAGTTTGAATAACGAAATTATTCTCGTAATGTACCTATTCTCTTTTCGCTGTATAATCACAACGAACTCTGTTCTTCGGATGAGTCGAATTAATAATGCGCCCGCGCGGCCGAGGAAGGCTATCCTCTTAAAATTCCAAAGATATTTCATTCTTCTCATAAGATTTTTATAAGCGCTGTTGCGAAATGTTTTCAGTATTCTGTACCAAAATTTGCAAAGGTTTTGACACTATCCCTATAAACAAATGGATATATGTCCGGGTACGCAGGAGGAACTTCCGAACTATAGTTTGACCTATTAAACAATAGACAAAAAAGGTCAGGGAATGAAATCCTTTGAAGGGACGAATTTCAAAATATGGTACTATCAGACATTGAAATCGCTACAAAAACCGATTTTTGAGACGGAATACATAATGTCATCTGCCTATATTGTAAATAAACCATCGCAAGCTAAGTCGCTGTCCGATGTCAATCACCGACATGAAAATTAGAATTTGCATTTTTTCAATGACTGCTGCTGCACACGGTATAATTGCCAATGTGGATGATCTGCCAATGAAAGAAACAGGCGATAATTATATTGCCAAATGTATAAGAGAATTGAAATGCTCTAAAAATTAAAAAGCTACGTCACATAGTAAAGTTGGTTTGTCCAAAAATAAAATTATAATGACGAACCTTGGATCAGAGTATAGCGCAGATCGTGGAATATGATTTATAAAGAATTGAGGAGACAACAAGATGAAATTTTAAAAAGTCACCGGTGTGAGATCCTACTACCAATTTGCCGCAATAGGGAAAAATTTGAGTAATTATTATCCCCATATTCTCAAGATCAGGCCAAAAGCGTAAAACATATAATTAAATAAAAAATATAGAAAAAAAAAAACTGACCATATCCTTCAACCGTTTGTAATTTGGTTTCGGATCGGAAGACACCATTAGTAGTAGAAGAAGAAAAGGAAGATAATGAAAGAAGACAGCATCAATAAGTTCAGATGAAGCATGTTCGAGTAACGATAATGTTTTTTCTTAATTTAAATTAAGAACGTGGAAAATTATAAAAAATTAATATTACTTTATTTTTAAATTTAATTAATAACTAAGTTGATCACAATATACTATTCAAACAAGTATTAAATTAAAAAAAAAATATCGCGAACATAAAGTTAAACAAACTAATAAACACTTTAATGAATAAAGCAAATCTAGTAACAATGGAAGCAGTGCCTTATATATTGAAACGCTAGCTTGGTTCATAAAAAGGTTGCTTATGCTAACATAGTGATAATTTGTTAAGCTATAGTTGCTCATGCCAAACAGCATAAGAATCTCTAGGAATCAGTCACAGTTGCAACATCTTAAAGTATAGACTTAAGGAAAAACAGACGGGTTCTTGTAACCACCTTTCCCTCCAGCATAGTTAGTTCGAATCATAGTTGAAGAAATATTATTTGCAACGTTGAATGTTGTACATGACTATCAACCATTGTACGGGCAATAAGTAACGGTCAGAAATGTTAAATGCTCTTTTTGAATTCTAATTTTGATTTATTTCTTTACACATTAGGTAATTCTTGAATTTTGTGAGACGCTTTTGTTGCTAATTCAGCAAAGTTAGGTCGGCGTAAATATTGTCATTTATAGAGTACAGTGCGTTTCCATTATACAGACAGCGCGTGCATCACCGAGAGCCATCTCGGTAACGCACTCTTTTGTCTTATTGAAAGACCACGATAAGAGAAATCGGTGCAAGTAATATTTCGTCAACTATACTTGTATAACCTCAGTTATTTCAATTACGTAACTTAAGGACGAAATTGTTTTGTATAAAAATATTAAACTCATCAGTTTTCCGTTTAGTAAAAATAGAATCTCAGAATAAACATCATCAGACATTACACGATAAAGAGTGCCTTGTGTATGTTTTCAGCTCTAGGCCGTGGTTACATGAGCAACATTTCAACAGCACATTAGCTGTTTGCGATGCAATTTTAAAGCGACATGTATGACTACGCCGTAGTATAGATTAATCGTTACTCGAGTAACTAATAATCGCGTCCCGGCTTTACAGTGTCACATGTCAAATTTCATAATTTTTGACGTTTATTATGGGCACGTACTGAAACTTCCCTAGTTTTTGGAAAAACTGGAAAAATTACGACAATATTGTACCACCAGTAAGGGTGAAATTACAGGCACATGGGACTGGTCACCTTATATCTCAGAGTGACAGGCATAGGGGTCCCTCATATATTTGCGATTTAAAGCTCTGAGTGGCAATTCAACTGTTATGGATAGGCATGTAGCTTACCATCAGGTGCACGACTAGTTCGTCCCGTCACTTGATATTATAAAAAAAAAATCTGAAGTAATGTCACTTTTAATGTTTGATCGGTATTAAGCTTAGACTATTGGTTTTTTCGATCGTCTAAGGTATTAAATAATAAGTTTTTATTTGTAGACGTTGTAGTAACCTATTTACATGTCACGTTTGTTATTTTTGAGGCGTGTCATTGGCGAAGTCGCTGTGGGATATGCTAAAGTAGGAATTACTAGTAGTACTACAAGTTTATTCTGAGATATCCGAGACTGAAAGTTTAGCACATCCATATTTTTTTTTTTCATTAGAACTAAGTACCTCATTTCTAGAACGTGCTAAGGATTTATACATTTCTATTTTGCACTCGTTACTGTAGAACGATGGATGTGCTAATTTTGTTTTATTGTTTTGTAAACTCATTCCTTCCGTCCCCGTTACTAAATTCTAAATTTCTATTGTGACTGTTTCTAATTTAGATAATTTTGTTCCTTCAGTTTCTATCAGGCGTAGGCGTAATTGTAAGTTTATTTCATAAAAATTCCAATGTTCTTATATTGGTGTTACAGACATTTCTTTACCTGTCCTTTGGTCACTATAGTCAAGTTTGAAGCACAATTATTTGCAAAAATGGATCATTGGCAGATCGCCAACAGCAAACAAGAGGACAGTACAAAAATGTCATTGAAACCATTTAAATATTTATCTAGATCTTAATTTTAAATCAAATATTTGTCAATTTATGCTTACCCCAGTCACCCAGTAAATGACCCTTGCATTTTAATTAAACTGTTTTACTATAATGTTGTGATTCGCACAAATATCCCCTGTCCTTGTTGTATATTCCAGTTTTACTGTAAATTTTCTGTTCGGGATTGATCTTTGTGTACCCCCAGTTACGCTATCCTATAGGTAGTTTCGTTTTTCCTTAACCCAAACTTTAATTGCATTAAGTCGTCATCACATTCTTGCCTGATTTGGAATAGCATTAGTTCACGTCTTAAGGCGGCTTCACACGGCCTGTGACTTCACAGGCCGCGTCACGCCGAGCCGATTTGTACGGTCGTGCTCGCGCCACAGGCCCATACACGCGAGGCCGGGCCGGCACGGGTGATTTCCCACGTTGCGATGGCATGAGCTCGCGTGACACGGACACTGAAAACACGGGCCATGGGAAGCTAGCATTATTTTAATTGTTTTTCGATCTACCTGTAGATGACATTACATTGCTACATACTTACGTTCACATTATTTGTTGTCATGTTAAATGCATGCATTCCTAATCTACCTACTTTACATGTGCCGTTTTCTTTGTAACTTTACATCTGCTAGTTAACTTTAACCAGAAGATAGCTTGATAATATTGTTTGAAGTAAATTATGTTGATTTTATTCAATGCTTTTTATAAAGATGACAAACGCACTATATACACTCCCAGACACATATTTCGAGTCACCTTGCATTTTTAGTATTAAATGCCCTAAGCTTAAAAAATATGTTTGATTGATCAAAAACTATTAATGCAATTTTGAAGCTTATTTACTAAACGTCATTTCCGTATGTTCTTGTTGATAATTTGATTTTGTGAAACCAGGGAAAAACGAGTTTTAAGTGTCACAAGTCTTGAATTCACCTTTGTCAAATGAAACTAGTAAAGAAATTTTAAAGAAAACAGTGGCTTATCGGATAAAATTGTCTATTCAGTAACTTGTATTGCCTCCAAGAGCGTTAACAACAGCCGCCATGCGATTTGGCATAGAATTAATTAACTTCAATATGAAGTGCTGTGGAATGTTCTCTCATTCTTCCTCAATGGCAACTTTCAACTCCGGTAAGGTTTACGGGACTGGGTGGTGAGCTCGAACGCGCCTCTTCCCCGTTCGTTCCTTATATATATATATAGCTCGTCCCATAAATGTTTTATTGGGTTCATATCCGGGCGTCGTGCTGGCCATTGCATGGTAGTAATACCGACGTCATGAAGGTATACGACGACTCTTGCAGTATGCGCTCTTGCGTTGTCATGCATGAGAATAAAATCTCGGCCTCCAAAGCCAGTATATGGCATTACATGAATTTCGAGGCACTGGCGAATGTATCTGTCGGCATTTAATGGTAGCAGCCGCGGCCCCGTCACAACCTCTAGCGCAGTTTTGCCTTCGGTGGACATTCCTCCCCAGACTGTGCATGAATCCCCGCCACAGCTCACTTTCTCTTCAATGTAACACTGAACAAAACGCTCTCTTTGTCTTCGGTAGACCTTGTTCCTTCCATCATTACCATAGACCATAATCTTAGTTCCATCGGTGAAGAGTACCTGGCTCCACAGACGTGGAGTCTAATGCAAATGTTCTCGTGCAAATTGGAGTCGCGCCATTCGATTAGCTCGTGTCAATTTGGGCCCGTTCGCTGGCTTATGTGGAGTTAGACCACGTTCCTTAAGTTTCCATCTCACAGTTCTAGCGCTAACAGCCACTCAATGAAAGTCTCGAAGCTGTTCTTGGATCTGTACTGAAGTCAGTTGACGATTTCGTGAGCTCGTTGTGAAGATAAATCGATCTTGCCTTTCCGTTGTCACTCGAAATCGTGGTCTTCCTTGACGGCGAACATACCCGCCAGTCTCTAAGTACCGATGGTTAGAACCTTTCAACAGCGGAACGACTGAAATGCAGTTGTGTACTTACATTACGCTGACTAAGTCTAGACTGCAAAAGTGCTACAGCTTGTGCGGCTACTTCAGGCGCAGTGTTCATAATTCCTTCGAGAAATTTGGTTAAATTTAGAGGAAAAAGAATGTAATACTCCTTTATTGTTAAATAAAACAATTAAATAAAAAATATAGAAATTATTTCGTTTTGACTTGCACCTTACGCTCCCTTATTTCTTTAAAAACAATGACGAATCACAACTTTTCTCCGTTTTTCAAATTCGTAAATTCAAATTTAGTACAACGACACACCATAACAACGGGGGAATCTGCCAGCATTAAAACTGCATAAAAACTTTTTCTTTAATAAAACAATATTGTTATATTCTTGGTCTTTCAAAATAAAAATTCAAGGCGGCTCGAAAGTTGTGTCCGGGAGTGAATTTTTAAGGAAACGGGCACATTCAATATAGCATGTAATTGTATATGTAGATGTCTACCCAGTCTTGTGAATGTTGTCACAGTGTTGTATTGTTATTTCTAGTGGTGGTTGCGCCGGCGGCGCCAGACATCTCGAACTTCTTAGACGACAAAAAGTCTATTCTGGATCGAGACTCCGAGATCTGTCACCACGACGACGTAAGGCATTACGCATATGAAGGCGATGGGAACACCAGCGGATCCCTCTCCTCATTAGCGAGCTGTAAGTATCTTCACCACTATCATTATTAGCCGCCGCCCTGAGCCCATCAGGTTTTTCTTTGAGGATTGTTTAGACCGGAGTCCACCATGCTGGCCCAATGCGGGTTGAAGACTACTCCCGTGTATACAAGGGTTGTGACCTTTTTTGTACGTGTAGGTTTCATAAAGAAATTTTTCTTTTACCATTAACAAGACGTATTGCGCCTATTTATACGCTCATTAAACAGCCTCCGAGGTCGAACGGTTACCATGCCGTACTGCCACTCAGAAGTCCCGGGTTCGATTCCCGTGGCGGGAGAAATGTTTGTATGGCCTGCATTTATTTCACTCGTGAGTTTTATGTGTAATTTGTGGTTGTCTATGTGTGTGTCCATGGCACCCGCGATACAGGGTTTCCCTAGTGTGGGGTTATGAGTAATGACCGTTTTTAATGATTGATCCTTTTTCTCTGCGAAATACAATAAATTAAATCAATGGATTTTGGAATTTAATCGCTTCTGAGCTACGCAAAAAATGTTTGATTTGTATAAATTAAGTTAGATAGTTTTATGTATGTTGGGCCTCAAAACCAAGATAAATTGGGCATTGAAAATAAAATTTAGATACCTATTCTTAAAACTAAGTACATGTTCATTATATTTGTATACTAATATTATATTAATTATAATATAATTCGACCTGAAAACTTGTACGGAAACGCAAGCATGTTCGGAAAAGAAGCAATTGGCTCCGCTTTTTCAGCAACTAAGATTTATTAGGAGATCATTACCAAAACATGTACGGGTTATAAGTGTCGTTAAGTAAAGATCAATAATAAAAAAGAGGATCAAATATTAATTTTGAATACCAAATATTAACTTAGTATACTTAAACATAATTATAATGTTACCTACATTGCAGTTCATTTATAATTTATCCGTAGATCAGCTAATATAGACCGAACAATTAATATGCATATTAAACATTAAAACAATAGTTTATTGAAAAAAGTTTTTACACACATTTAGTTCACATTTACAGAATTTAAAAAAGAATTCAGGTAAGAAACGACCGTTTTCCCATAGGGCAGCCAAGCTTTTTTAGTATTATATGAAAACCATTTAATCTCATTGAGATCCTCAAACTATCTTCAAATACAGTAAGACATAACCCCAATTTCTTAGTGCTGTTAGGGACATATTATTGTTATTTTATGGCAGCCGTACGCTTCTGTACCGTGTATAAGATGCATTGGTCGTGTCCACCAAAATGCCCTCTAGTCCTGTGGTATTTCCATACGTATTAATTATATTAGAATATATTTAGGTGTACGGTATGTAACAATCAAATGCGGCACCTGGAAACATGAAAATCTACTGAAGTCTGTGAAATACGAAAATGAAATACAATGACAATGTCCCCTGAACAATGAGGTAATGCGTGACTATTTTTCGCAGGTACGGACGACGGAGATCTCAAATTTAACTATCTATCCACTTTTGGACCCCGGTTCCGTAAGCTCGCGGATATGTATGGAGATTCTGATGAAGAGCGAGCCGGACCACACGAAGAGAGCTGGTGCTAGCAGAGACTGGAGCGAGGGCTCATTTTGCCGCCGAGCCCCTACAAATAGACTCAAGTGAGATAATATAAAGTGACTTTTGACATTACCAATTAGGAAAAGAAACTAAGTGTTCTACGAAATTTTTGTGATACATATACAGTGTTCTGTCCGCCGTCAACCCTGTGACTGACTCGGATTATGTTTTATAATCACTATTATTATTTGTAAACGTTTTGTTGAACTTTGATTTCAATCATTAGGTATTTTGTTTAGGGACCAAATTATTATATATTGTTACTTACACTTATGTTAAAAATCCACGTTGCCATGCGTATATTTTTCATTAAGTTGTTCGCCATTTAACGTGTATGACACTTGGCTTTGATGTGATTCAGTCACAGCACAAACGCGTGGGAAGGCACTGATCATATGTAGGTTTAGAATTATTAACGAAGACTAGGATACGATTGTCGCAATTGTCAATTATAGATGGAAACAAACGACAACGATCAGAAGTACGGTATAACAAATGACTGAAAAATGAACGGCGTTGTTTTGCAAATAGTAAAACGGTATGTATGTACGTAATTTTGATTCTTTTTTTACGCCTTATTTACAGTTTATTTGTAAATTATAATCTTTGACAATGAACAAACCTTTCTTTAATATTTTAATATTTTGGGCAGCATTTATTTTTAGTTAACGATTGTTAGTGTAATTTAAATTAATGTTTAAGTGCCATTATTTTTTTACTAGGTATTTATATGAAATTTTTGTATGTAGCTCAATTGTTTTTGAGTGTTGCTGGTTCGGTGAAGCCCCGTTCTTTATTTTAAGAATATTCTTTTTCTTATTTTTGGTGGCTGAAAACATCGATTTTAGGTTTAAATACTTTCCCGCCCATATTTTTATCTTTTTTTTATTATTATGACAACTGTAGTTGTAGTTGTTGTATTGCTATGTTCAACAACGTAATTTTGTTTCTTATTACTACTTCCATAACGTCCACTTGCGACACAAATACAGATATTCGTATCCCTCATGTAAGAATGGTATAAGTTACATCAAAACTGTTCATTGCTCCATTAGATACAGAAAAATATAACCCACATCCTCTCCAATTCTTGTAACTCTATCTGTAATATTAATCGATAGAGTTACAAGAATTGGAGAGAATGTCGGTTATATTTTTTTGTATCTAATGGAGAAATAAACATTTTTGACGTAATTCAACTTATGCCATTCTTTCATGAGGGGTGCGTTATGTATACATATCGCACATGACAAGTAACGTAGTAATATCTCAAAATTGATTTACGTTATATTAATGTTATTTATTTAGTTTCAAAGCGACAGTGTTGTCCTGTCTCTTTGAAATTAAATCGTTACGTCCCTCGTATTTTATTTCGCTATATTTATTATTTGTATAAACATAGCGAAATTTTGGAGATAATACTATGTTAGTTGTCAAGTGCGATATTAGTTCAATTAAAATTCCGAAACATAATGTAAATACATATAAACACTTATATAATGGACGTCTGTAGTTAGACACTTGTACATTATAGAGCATATCAATAGTAATTGATTTCAAATCTCTATCTATAATCGAAAGATACATAGTCAAGTAATCATACATGAAAAAATATTGTGTCATAGAAATAAGATCAATAGTTTACTCGATAATAAATGTTGAAAAAAAAAAAGAAAAAATACTAGTGTCTGGTACTAAATAAAAAAGCCTCCTTCCCAGTGACTAATAAATGTTCTTTATGAAAATTTAAATCTGTTTAACGTTTTACTTCTGTTGAAATTCACTTGAAACAATATTACTTCACTCTCCGATTTCATTATATGTATATGATAACAACATATAATATTTATTTACTTTTTGTGCCATTTCACAATTAACACTTTTTTAAATATCCTTTTTTTCTATTCATTTATTTAGCGGAAATTATTGAATAAAGTCTGATGTTTTGTTAAATAAGTAGATCTATTTAGGGGTTAAGTTTAAATGAGCTTCTATATTTTATAGAAATATAAGCTGAATGCCACGTTCTATTCGATGTCTAAATATATCCATTTGTTAAATACCATAGTTTAAAAAACGTAAATTTAAAAATAATGCAAGTTTCGGGCAAAGTTAAGAATTGATGGAGCATTTGAAATATCACATTTAGTAAATGTGCAAACGGCATTACGCTAAAGTCGCGAAGATCCAGAATATAATAATAAGCTGTTTACGGTAATAATTAAAACGAAAGGACATGGACAAGATGCAGCAATACTTCTTTGGCTGCACGAAACATGTTTTAACTTGTCGTCAGAACGAGTGAATTTGGTTACTAATTTGACACGTCAACAAAATGCTCTCTAGTCATCGAGTATATAACCAGAAACAGATACGACATGTCATTTAATTTGTTTGAAAACTATTCTGCCATATCATTACAGTGACAATTGCGCTCCGATCGGCCAGCCCGAATTCGATAACACGCGAGTGTCGTCAATTATTTCACTTCAAATCGACCATTCAACTTGAGTTTTGCTATAATGGACGAAAACTGCAAAATTACATATCTAATATTTAATTACAGATTAAATTTGATTCCGTTTGTTTTGTAATTAGATGTTTTGTTGTTTTTCCCCACCCCACCAAATGAAACAGCACGCCATTGTTAGAGATATTATCTTTATTACAATAACTACAAAATATTTTTGGAATATACGAAGACGTACACACAGGTCAGTAGTTGGCCTGTCTATATTTCAGTGCAAACGAGAGTCGATGTTTATAAGTGATGTATCACTGACGAGTTACCAGGAATGTGTGGCCATTATTTTGTCTCTATTTCTGGTTATAGACTCGATTAACAACATTCCAATCCTGGATTAATGTTAGCTGTTCAAACGTAGAGGCATTAGAATTTTTATTTAACTTTGTTTCAGTGTCTTTTACTTAACCAACGTCACGAGGAATGCTCGGTATTGAATGAAACCAGTGACGAATAGTTACTGTTGATTAATACTGCAGTTAGGGCTCGATATTAATTTTACCTGTTGAATAATTGAGCTGGAATTGATGCAAGTGATGGGTTGGAAAATGCGCTTGAAATGGCGATATGTTAGCGATCGTGACTGGAGGCTAATTATAACCAATGGTCGGGAAAAGCTGTTCCACGTGTATAGATACAAGTATAGACAGCTACAGGGAGCGACGTAGAATTATTGAAACCACCAAATATTAATTAAGTAATTACATTTTCGAATTCCGGATTTCCGGAAATGATTCAACTGTATCGTAGGACAAACTTCTGACCTAGGAAGTCGAAGTTGAATTTTTAGGTAATTCCAATGGTGTCATGTAAACAATGCAGTAGACAACTGACAGCCTTATTTGTTGCCGTTCCTTCAGTGCGACCGTCAATACACGGGGAGCGGTGTGGTATCTAAAGCTAGCGAGTGGCGGTGAGTGTCTATTCTGGTTACTTTTTTATCTTTTTCTGCTTTTGTAAAAGGTAATTATCCACTGCAAAAGCAAAAAAGTAATTAATTAATATTTAGTGGTATTAACACTCTATGTTGCTTCTTGTAGCTATATCTGTATATGTTGAACACCTTTTTTCGACCATTGTTTATAACAAAACAAAATTTGCTGGTAACAAAAAGTAATATAAAGTTGTGGAACAGTACCTGCCTGAAGCACTGCCGTGCTCAGGATTAGGGACAGTCAGCGCAAATGGAGACGTGATTTAATAGCCATTTTCTATCAGGATTGTCTTGCTTGTTCTGGTTTGCATACCGTGAAAGAAACAAAAATAACGGTCATAGAAAACCTCGTCCGCCTAACTTTTGTTGGGCGCATAGCCTCCCTAATAGCTCGCTATAAAATATCGGACGGTATCACGTTGCCTAACATCGATCTCAATTACGGCGATAGTGCTGTCATACATCGCGTTTTTCTACTCACGGTTGCCATTAGAGAACATCAATTATCGAAGATTTTAGCTCTGGCAGATGTAAGTCGGGTCAGGAAAATGTTAATCCGAATTTAAATACTTACATTATTCCACCTTTGAGCGAAACCGTACTTCCTATACGACTCAAATATTACATTACTTGTGCGATTTTTTATCGAACGCCTGAACGCCTTGGCCATGAGTCTCCGGTATAATTGATTTAGGAAAACGGCTTTAAATATATCCCCTTGGGGTACTACTGATACCCTAGATTTCGCAATTGGTATTATTAATAATAATAAAAAAGCATTTTGAGTTGTGTGGTTAATGCAGTATTATTGTAATTATATACGTATGTGATGCTTCCCAAAATTGAGGACGTAGTTTATACAGTGGTTGTTCCGCCAGAGTCAACAATAACTTCACGATTTGAAACTAATACCTGCCTAATAAGAAAATAAAAGAAATACATTTATTAATATTATTCATAATAATTCAATATCGTGGTAGTTAGCTATCTACATCTTACTTGTGAAACTGATGTTTTGTTAAAAATTATAAAGACAGATTGACATGGGTTTAGCGTTTTAAGTTTTAAACCCATGTTAAAAAGCAACAGTCTCACAAGTGAGTCTAAAAGTAAAAACATAGATACTAATTATATAAATTTAAAAAAAAGTAGATATATAATTATTAAATTTAACATAAATATGTAAGTTAATAAACATTCCTTCATCTTAAATCCACTCTGTAAAAACTCAGTGGCGTTTGTGTAAGGTCGAGAATATAATAAATAATGCGTCTTAGTATAAACGAAACACTGAAAATTTGACCTTTGGAACCACTACGTAGCCTTACGATATTGTGTGGACTTTTCCATGGGCGAGGCGGATCCCCAGCTAAACCGTATGACTATATAGATTTGTATTATTGCCATCTGCATTTGAAAACCCTAATTACGGTTTTATTGGATAACGTAAACTGATAAAATTGAAAATTGAAAAATTTATATTCTTCTAGCTGTAAAGCATTACGAGCAACTATTCTGAATTTCCCACCGCAGTAGCGTAATTCTAAAGTTAGGCTAGTCAATTTCAATTTGGAGAGTCTATTCTTCTTTTAGTATTAGTCTTTCGCTGAGTCGGAATACACAAACGTTACTAGTTTACAATGAATGAGGTTCGTTATGCATTTGCACCTTGTGGCTAATAGGACGCTTTGTAACAATTTGCAGGCATATATTTGGTTCGTTGAATGCCGTGAATACGCGGTATAATATGCGATATTCAATAGTTTAGTAGCTGTTGCTTGATCTTGAACTAGTTGTGGTACATTGAGATATTGCACTGTAACTCAAGCGTTATGCAACCTTTGTGTATATTGTTACACAAATTTTTTTACAAACTTGCTATGTCTGCAGACTGTTGCAAAATTTTCAAATGCGATTACATACAGTATAGGAAAAAGAATCGCTTGATTAGTATTCATCGCTACAGAATATTAATACGTTAGCAGCCTTGTGGTATCATCAGCACCTATTTCGCGCCTATGCCACATTTAATAGGAAGCCTATCTTTACTGCGAGACGTTCTACAACATCTTTGAAAGGAAATCATAGTAATTTCCGCTGCCGTAAGCAATCATATTCCAACGTACATTGAGATACTTTATTGGAAATTTATTTTCTATTACTTTTGGATTAAATTTATAATAGTGAATATAAAGGTAGAAAGAACATTTGCTCGACGTGGCGGCGAGCGGCTAGCTTTTATACAAACGACAAAAAAGTGATTATTAAATACGCAGTATGAATTTCATTTTTTAAAGCCACCAGTGAATGCGAATATTAAATGTATCCGTTCGAATAACATTGGCATGTTAATATTTATTCTGCTGAAAGTCTTTTCCATACTTTTCAATCGCATTAATATTATGTTGCCATTTTCAAACATAATTTTTAAAATAAATTTTACATTTCATATAAAAACATTATGATAATATCAAATTTTTGTAATAACCGAAGTAAAACATCGTAAC